GTGACCCAGCCTGCGCCCCGCCCGGTCCACTCCCCGCGCGTCCCGGGGCACAGGTGACCGTCCGGACTTCCCGCCGCCTGGCTGCGGTGCTGTCCGCGGCGGCCAGTGCCGAAGCCGGTGCGGCCCGGGCTCCGGAGCTGGCCTGCTTTCCAGGCCGCCACACAGAGTCCCGGGCGCTGCTTGGGGCACACGGGCGCGCGCAGTCAGCGGATGACCCCAGTTGCGTCGTGGGGCCCTTGGCCGGGCTCCAGCTCTGGCTCAGCGAACCTGTGCTCACCTGTCCCACGTAATGCCCCGAGCGACCTGGGGGCAGGCATTGTCACGTCTCCACAGTGAGAAACGCAAGGCGTTCAGTAACCTGATCTCGGTCCCGTGGGTCTTTAGGGCGTAACAGGATTGGAACCCAGTTCTGTGGGTGCCAGAGCTTCTTGCCAAGCGCTCAGGTGTTGAAATTGATGCTGGAAAGGTTCAGGGTTTGTCCAGAGCCTTCCCTTTTGCAGAAAATCCCGTTTCCTAACCTCATAGGACAATTAAGTGAAAATGGTTTAATTTGCTCCCGGCTAATGTGTTTCTGGCCCTGGAGGGCTAGTGGCATTCGAGCCTAAAGTTGAAAGTCCAGAAGGTATTCTCATGTTCCAAAGCCGACTTTGACTTAGAATAGGAGCTCTTGGCTCTTGGCTATTGCCTGCTTCCTGGGTGCCAGGCCCTGTAACAACAGCCTCAATCTTCACTGCCCCTTCCCATCTTACAGGTGGGGAAACTGAGGCACTGAGCGATGACATGGCTGGTAGGTGGCAGAGCCGGACATTCTAGCTTACTTGTAGGTGTAACCACTGCACACTGCAGCGGGAGCCAGGGCTCCAGGGTAGGCACAGCCTGTCTCTGGACTGGAGATCGTTAGGCCATCATAGAGCATTCCTGAGCTTCCATTTACTCATAAGCAAAGAGAGAGCAATCACCATAGCTTTTGTCCTCCAGGGAACTAAGACTGGTGTGAACCAAGAGCTCTGTGTAGTCTGTGTTGTTGTCCACTGCTGTTTCTGCAGCCTTTGCCTGGGGCCTGGCACTCTGTCCGACCCTGGTAATATGTCTGTCCCCGGAATGAATAAATCATCCCACGGCTGACTCCCAAATGGGCTCCTCTCTGTTGCCCACTGTGCTGGGCCTTTGGAAAGGGGCCAAGGCAGGGGACATTTGGGGCTGGGCCCAGCAGGGTGAGGGTGTCTGAAATCAGGTGGTACTGAATGAGATAGGATTTCTGTTTGTTGGCAAGGTGGCTAGGGAGGTGGAAAGGATAGGCAGCCCAAAATGGAAGGTCCCATCTGCCCTTACCCTGCTGTGGGCAGTCAGGAAGGTCACTGACCTCCCTGAACTTCCTTCTCTGCCGTGGATGTCACCATGGTGATGAGCCATGCTGAAGATTAAACAGCATAATACACGTAAAGGGTCTATTGACCCCCCCTGTTGACTCTACCTTTCAGTGTCCTTTATATCAGTTGGATGAATGTGGGGCTGGAGGAGCATGAAGGCCCAGCCTCCTGGAGCCTCAAATGCCAGGCCAGGGGACCTGGACTTCATGCCGAAGTCAAGGGAGCGCTAGAGGGATGTGAGCAGAGAGGGAGGTGGTGGGACTGTCATCTCTGGGCCCAGAAGCAGGGATCTCCGGGAGGAAGGTGAGTCTTACACTGTTGGCAGGTGTGAGATGGGTCCAGCCCCATGGAAGGGAATGTGCCAGCCAGGGTCTATCTGGTCTCTCTGGACCACACATGCCCTTTGACCCCACAACCCAGTTCCTAGAGAGCCCGCCACATGCAGGTGATTCCATGTGTGCAAAGACCAGGGATAACCTGCATCTGTTACCGGGGCTGCTAAATGCACAGTGGCCCGTCCACACTGAGAATATGATGCAGCCTTCCCAAAAAATGTGGCGGCTCTAAATGGCCAGCAGAAGGAGCTCCAAAGCATAGTCAACAAAAGAAGCAAATTAAGTTCAGTGCAACTAGTTGGCCGCTGTGCAGGGGGACGAAGTGTGTGTAAATGCACAGACTAGCTCCGGAAGGGCATGTGACATGCTCCCTAACAGTGCGCCCTAACAGGGAGGGACCTGGGTGCTGCAGGATGAGAGAGGGGCGAGCTAGCTCTAGCTTTTACCATTACCCCATTGATATCCCTTTGAATTCTAAGCCATACCCATGAGTTATGACTCAAAAATACCGTCTCAATCAAAACAAAACAAATAGAACAGTGAATGATTACAAGACCTTGGCCATGTGGCTACGGAAATGGGGACAGGCCAGGAAAGTTCTGGAACTCTGGGTTTGGTCCTCACTATTTGCCACATTTCCTCTTCCTTGGAAGCTGAGAGGAAGTCAGTGATTCCTTCCTGCCTTTCCTCACTCTCGGACGAGTTGGTGCCTGGAACAGTTTGGCAGGGGGCATTTCCTCCATCATGGCTTGTTAATTAAGATAGGATACTAGTGGGGTCACACTTGAGGACATACCTTGAGAGCTGTAACCTTCTCCTCAGCATGGGGAGCCACAGCCGGGACAGGTAGGGGAGGAGGACAGAACACTGGGCTGGCAGCCAGGAGACGTGGGTTCAAGATTCCACTTGGCCTTTCCTACCTGGGTTTTTCTGGACAATCACTCTGCTTCCCTGTACCTCGGTTTCCCCATCCACACACTGGCCCCCACGTGTGTGTAGGTAGGAGAAAGCACGGTCGTCCGCGCATGCACCTACTAGACCCGAGCTATACAGCGTCCCATTCCTACTTCCCTCCCATCTGTAAAATGGGATCAGGGGATAACTTGGCCACAGTCGACATTCCTGAGGGATAGATTTCTGCTAACACACCAATTTAGAATGCCACCGGAATAAGAGCCTCCTAAGTGCCCTGTGCTGTACTTTACGAGTTTTAGTCTAATCCCCATTCCCCAGAAGGTCAGCTCCAGGAGAACTGGATTGCTGTCTGTTGTGTGCACTGATGTGTGCATGCCCAGCACACAGCAAGCATCCCGTCGACACCTGTGGTGTAATGGGGCATGAATCCTGCCCCAACATGTGCAGTGGGGACTGTAGTCCCTGCGGTGGAAGCGTGTTGCTAAAGACGTGAAGCTCATCCATGGGAGCTGGGGTCTGAACCCAGACGGTCTGGGTCTAGAGCCCACACTTTTAACAATGGTTAAATGGTTAAAATGTTAAATTGCAACAGATGGTGGCTTTTGGGTATTTGGTTTTATAAATGGATATTTTTTTACATTTAACCATTTTTCAATGCTTAAATGGTTTAAAAGGCTCTGCCAGCTCACTGGAGCCTGCCTTGTTTCTAGGCACCACCTCCTCTGTGTGGCTACTGTTTGTGCCCCAGAAAAGTGACCACCAGCTCCGGTTTCCAGAGTTCGCTGTCACTTGTGAGCATCTGAAAATGCACGTGTCAATTACAGAGTGCCTGTGCCAGACGGACCCAGGGGGTGGCGGTGATTTCAGTACCTCGGACCTTATGGGGCCATTTCTTCCTGTTTCAGCACCTGCAGACCCCCTTCTCCCACCTCCAGATGAGACGGGTGGTCTGCCCCCGGGATGCTCTGTGATCCGCACCCACTGCCGGGACCCCGCATCTCTGCCCATGCAGCACGTCGTGCTGGCCAACCGGGGTGACCCAAAGGAGCAGGACACAGAGGAGCCAAAGGCAAGTGCAATACCCAGGCCAGGCACGGAGGGTTCACGTGCTGGGCCAGCATTGTTACCAGCTGCATGTTTAATGTTTCCTGTGTTCTGAGCTCTGCGCCGGGAACTCCTGTGCCTTGTCTCTGAACCCTCTCAACCCTGCAAGGTTGGTATTTTTACCCCCACTTTTCCATGAGGATAAATTAAGGCACAGAGAAGTCAAGGAGCTTGCCCAGGGTCACACAGTAAATGGCAGGGCAGGATTTAAGCTCAGAGAGTCTGGCTCCTGAGCCCAGCCACTCCAGGAAACTTGGGGTTGCTGGTGACCATTCTGGGGTGAGGTGAGCAGTTCTCACATGGAGATAGCCCAATCCATTCTGAAGTCTAAATAACTGTCGCCTACCAAAGGGTCTGTTCCATAATAGGTACACAATGATTTTTTTTCTCTTTCCCTTGTTATTGTAATAGTACCAGAGAGAGATGACCAGGTCTGCTTAGAAACACAAAAATAAAATAACCCTCTGTATGCATTAGGATGAGGCTCAGCTTCACATAACAGAAAACTCCCCCAAGTCATAGTGATTTAGACAACAGCGAAAGTTGTTTCTTTCTCATGTAAATGACATATAAAGGTAGGTGGTTTGGGGCACTACGGACGTATCACAACCAACAAGGGCCCAGACTCTGTCCATCTCATTGCCCTACTATCCTTAGCATGCTGCTTCATAGTCCAAGGTGGCTGCTTGAGCACCAGTCCTCATGTCTGCATCCAGCCAGCATGAGAGAGAAAGAGGTGAAAAAGAGGCCTTCCTTTTATGAAGATGTTCCAGAAGTTGCATACCATACTTTAGTATGCCCTTATTGGCCAGAACTTAGTCACACGGCCCCACCTGGCTGTAAGGAAGACTGAGAAACATATTTATTCCAGGTGGCCATGTGCCCAGCTAAAAATCAGGGTTCAATTCCTAATAAAGAAGGGTAGAATGGATACTGCGGAGATGACTGGCTGTGTCTGCCACAGCCACAGAGAGATGTGTGAGGAGCTTAACTCAGGCTTGGCTCCCCTTAAGCCAAAGCTAAATCCCAATCATGGTGGCACTTTCTTGTGTATATCTTCCTCGTGTGACCGTCACAACAAGCCAGCCCCACTTTCTGGGTGGAGGTGCGCTCAGAAAGGTCTAAGGACTTTCTGGAGGCAACAGGTGCAGAAGGCAGTGGAGCAGGATTAGAACACAAGAGAGCTGACCTCAATCACAGTAACAGTCACCCCACGGGCTTCCCGGGCCCTGGCACCCTTCCTAGCCTATATAACCTTTACAGCCAGCGAGGAAAGACCTGGCATCTCCATGTGCTGTTAGGTAATGTGCTCGAGGTTCCACAGCCAGTCTGTGGAGACACTGGGACTCGCATCTGGACCATCTTACTCCTGAATCCATGCTCTGACCACCACCCTCCATTGCCACACAGAATCATCAATTCTCCCTGAGGCATCTAGTCTGCAAAGCTGGTTAAGGTTGAGATGAGAGATTAGGCTAGGGAGTGCCACTGGTGCCTAATAGCCTTCCATTAAAAAAAAAAAAAAAAAAGGAAGCACTTCTTTTGTAGTGTTGGTTTATTCCAGAAATAAATGTACTAGAATTCTGATTTAAGAGGACTGTGATATCTAAAGGCAGGGACCCAGGTTTTAACAGTTTAACCTTTCTCATGATATCTAGAACCGTGTGATGCAGGCACCATCTTGTAATAAATGTCCTCACTGTTCAGATGCAGCGGTGGGGTAGGGAGGGATGGCCTGCATGCCCTTTAACTAAGCCCCTACTTCCCTCGTGCAAATAGCCAGGACCCAAACTTTGCTGGGGAGTTGACTATAAAACACACAGTGGCCAAGAGTCTTTTCCTAAACATGCTTGTAAGTAAGCATCATCAGAGATTTGGCCTGGTTCCCAAAAGAAAGACATGAAAAGTTGCATAAATTAAACTATTTTTCTCTTTGAGGCTTGCTCAGTCTCCTTGTAGAATCCTGTTCATGAGCATGTCCTTGAGGTCTTCCCTCTCTGGCAAGGAGAAGACACATGTGCAGAGTCCCCACTAGGTGCCCGGTCCTGTGCTAGCCCTTAACAAACACTCGTTCATGGCCCCAGTGCTGCCTTCTGTGTTGGAGTAGGAGCTGCAGGGGTAAGCGCAGCTCTCAGACCCATGGTGCATCAGAGCTGGGGGGCGGGGAGGGGGTGTGTGTGTCTGTTACTCCAGCCCCTAGTACCTTCTGTTCCACCCTGCTGACTCCCAAAGGAGCTTTTTTCTGTAAAAGAAAATTCTGTCTATTGAACCAAATATCCAAAATTCACCGTCTGTTGCAATTTGAATATGAAAAGTCTGTGCTGGTCAAGAATCCTCTCGGAAGGGATTTCCCCCCCTTGGATTTTGACAATCAAAATGGCAAAATCGACCCTCTGTTCTGCTGAAAGTGGGCTTTCTTGTTCACTGCCAACCACACTGTTTTCTTCACTCTTGTCTTGCTCACCATGTTCTGCGCTGCCTTCTCCTTTTTAATGGGTGTCCTCAAGTGGATGGGAATGTTCTCCACACAGTAACACCATGTGCTAATGGCCAGATCTATTTAGGGCAGAGTCAATTAAGTGCAAATCCTGTGTGAGAAATGGTGGAAGAACAAAAGGCTTCAGAGTGGCTTATCCCAAGTGCCCCCATCTCCATGACCATAGTTTGTGGGCAAACTAAGAAAATACTCAGGAAAGATTTTCTTGTAATAAAGAAGCTGAAACAAAGGGCCAAGGACAGCAGTAAAATTATAAAAAAGCACACTTATTTTGATTTTTGATGTATAATATGAGGAGATAGAGAAGTACAATAAAATACATGGAAATGTTTCCTCTAATTGGAAACAAACAACTTCCCCTCTGTGCTACAGCAGAGGAGCTGAGCAGAGAGAAGGGGGCAGCTCTGGCGGGGAGGCAGGGCAGAGGTGAGCTGGCCACTTGACCCCACGTGCCACTTGACCCCAGGCAGCTGTGGGGTCTCCCTCAGGAGGCACGGCTCTAACAGAAGCCAGGGCGTGCTCCCGGCTCTCGGCTTGGCACGGCTACTCAGTGGCCAATCACACCACCTTTCTGAGTGTCTTCCCGCGGCATGGGACGATGATAATATTTACTTTCACTGGGGGGATGTGAGACTCACATTCAGGACCGCGCATGTTGGGAAGCCCTTGGTGAGCTCCACTGTTACGGGGGTGTGTCCCTCACAGGAAATCAGCACAGACCTCAGGCCCTGGGCGCTGACCAGGGTCCTGAAAGAATTGTTCTTCACTTGCAGACTCCAGGGATCAGCGTAGTCTGTGCGTTGGAAGGGAGCGAGGGAGAGTGTCATTATGGTGCACCTACTGCATGCCTGGCACCTTGCTAGGTACTCTGCAGCACTATCTCATTACCACACATGTTTGCTATCCTGGCTCTTTGCCTCTTCCTGGCCTGAGCTCTGCCCTCCTGCTCCTTAAGCCCCCTGATGCCAACCGCTGTCCTGACCTTCTCTGTCATTCAGTCCCCAGCACATCTGCCCAGGCAGCCTGCTGAGCCACAGGCCAGCTTTGTATCCCCTGGCCCTGGGAAGACCGAAATGGGCATGTCTGGGGTGAAGCTTTGAACAGAAAAGCTGGAACAGTTGAAACAGAGGTTTACAAGGACCCATTCTGAGTTCTCTCTACTATTCTGGGCACATGCATATGTTTGATTTAGAAAACTTGGAATCTGAGCCCTGAGTGCAAGGACATCCAGGTTGTCATTCTGTAACCTCTACCCCTTGTAATGAATTGTTGCAATTATTTCTATACAAGTCAGCCTCCACCACTGGGCTGTGAGCTGCTTGAGGGCAAGGCCTGTGTCCTATTCAGCCATCTAGACTCCGAGCAGGCACAGAGCCCTGATGATAGCAAGGGTTAGGATTAGGCAGTGTCGATGGATCCAACACACACAATGAATGGAAGAGTAAGTCTGCAGCTTGGGTCTCTCTCCCAAGACTGGCTTCAGTGGGAGAGAGTTCAATCATAGCAGCCTGCACTGACTGAGTACTTCCTGGGTGCCTGGCCCTGTTTTAAGAACTATGCGAATATTAGCACATTTAGTCCTTACCACAGCCCACAGGTAAGGACTATCATGATCTCCATTTTACAAGTGGGGAAACTGAGGCATGGGGATGTTCCTAATTTGCCCAAGGCCACACAGCAGGTAAGTGGCAGAACTGAGATGTGAACCGGGCTGGGCTCCAGTCAAGCTCATGTGTTAACCTTCTGTCTCTTGCCCATCCCCTGCCCCAGTGCCAAGGTTTGGTCCCTTCCCCCTGTGCAACTAGTTACCTAAACCTTGCGTTGTTTTGTTGATCATGCCCAATGAGCATTCTGCAGCTTGGATGAGAAGGAATATCCCGACTCCCGCACCTGCTGGGGACTGGGGCAGTGATCGAATCTCCATGCCTCAGTCCTCTCGTGTTCAGGGGATCATCTCTACTCTGCAGAGTTGCTAGGTTGTGAGAGGCCACATGGACAGAGAGGACACTTTAGTGTCCTGTTATTATTGATGTAAACTGTGATGGGAATATGGTAAATCATGACTGACAGTCTTGAGGTTTTTTTCTCTGCTATTTCTCTTTCAGAAAAGGAAAGGGGGCTGGCCCAAAGGCAGGAAAAGGAAACCACCGAGGGATATTTCTGTTCCCTGTGCTCCTATGACAGGGTAAGACGGGGCAGACTACCTGACGGTGTGCTAATACAGTGGCCATGTGTGCAGGGCCTGGCCGTGACCCCATCTCAGCCTTGATCTGTTTTCCAATGGGGGGCCACACACCATAGGGAGGGGGTGCGGGTTGTTAGTTCTTTAAGCTGTAATAAGGTTCTGATGCTCAAAGGAGAGGACAGAAGAGCTGCATGTGGGTCACAGACCAGAAGGGGGTGGCTTTGGGGCCAAGTAAGTCTGGTTTCCCTTCCAGGCTTGCAGATGTGGGTGCTCTGGGGTGAGCTAGTTAACCTCCATCAAGGCTCAAGACGCCCCTCCCAGTGCCCTGAAACCTTGTCCCTTGTCCCCTGGCATCTTGGGCTGCAGAAAACAGATCCCATGACAGTCACTCCCCACTGCTCTGCAGGTCACCCTGCTGTTCTAGAAGCTTCTGCTCTTTTCCCTTTATCCCCATGTTTCTCAGGATGAAGGCCTTCTTCTCCATCTCCTATAACCCTGTGGACAGGTGGCATTATGTACATCCATTCCACAGAGGGGGAAACTGAGGCTCACACTTGCCGCCCCCTCTTGGCATGCCTCGTGCCTCTACCTTGGGGAGCCTCTTCTGGCTCCTTTGTCTTTCATGAGTCTCTGGATAAATCAGCCATTTGAGTATTTCCCCCTCTTGAATTAACCTCCATTCACTGGTTAGATTGGAACTATGGGCAAACCAATGATTACTTATTTTTATTAAAAAAAAAACAGGAAGTGGAAATCGCTCCCCCGGGCCCGCTGCCCCTCCCCGCCCCCCTGCAGTTGCTCAGAGCTGCTGTTTGTTCCATTCCCGGCACAGGTACAGGATCTTCCTAAACGAGCAGAGGAGCCAGCTGAGGGCCAGGCACCCAGATCTGCCATTTACGGAAATCACGAAGATGTTGGCGGCTCAGTGGGCTCAGCTGTCTCAAGAGAAAAAGCAAGTAAGTCCTTTTCTGCATAGAATGAGGAGAAAGTGGCCCCCAACAGCCTCCATCTGGGGCTGTTCCCCCCCCCAGCCCATCTATTGACACAGGAGCCACAGGGAACCTTCTGGAAAGCAGGTATGAGGTGCCTCTCACCCCACCCCTTAAAAGCAATTGCCAGTTCTCCCTTGCTTTTGGCACTCACCATTTAGCAAACTGGGTTAAGCAGAATGACTAACCCACGAAACAGGTAAGTTGTCAAATAAGTTTGGGAAATTCTGTAGTGAGTCCTGTGAAATAGGTTTTTCCCTCTGCAGAAGGTTTTGGGAGCATTTAATAGGATTCTGTTTACTTAAAAAGTATTTCACTTGAGGCCCATGCTCTCGTGGAGGGAGGCATGGAGGGAGAGACGGAGGAAAGTACTTTGGGGGCATGAAAGTCTCCGAGTCTCAGCTCTAGGGTGAGACAGTTCTCAAACTAATTCTACATGGAACCCCCTTTCTACAGAGCACCTGTAATCTTCCCCGCAGTATGTTCTTGGGGTCACAGGGGAGGAAACACCAACTTGTGGGGTACAGCCAAAGCCCCTTTAGTAGGGCAAATGTGTCCCCTGTCAACTTCTGCCATCCCCCTTCTATACTTGTCAGCCACACTGGTCAAGCCATGCCTGCTCCAACGTCACCTCCTACGAGAAGCCTTCCCAAACCCCCTCTAAGTAGGTCTGACCCCAAAGCCCATATTTTTCCCAGAACAGCCTCTTGCCTTCAGAGTGTCATTTCTTTGGGTCAAATGCAATGACCCTGAGATGAACGTCTTTAAACCTCTGCACTTTCAACTTGTGTTGGCCACAGAAAACCCGTGGTTCAAATTAACTATTAGGGAGAAGTCCTTATTTGGGGTTGGGGGGGGTGTCCATATCAACCCTCGTCTTACAACCCAGCTTTACAACCACTTGGGAAGTAGATCCAGTGCCCAGGCACTGGACAACCCCTGGCTGTCCTGGACAGGGCAGGCCCCTGACTGTGGCCAAGAGCTAGACAGCTGGTCTCAGAGGAGGGGAGAGAAGTCGGGACTCCACTGAGCATCTCTGATTCTGGCCCTGGCTTATGACTCAGAGAAGCCACTCCTTCTGCCAGTACAGGAGAGGCAGGAGGTTTAAGCCAATGGAAACATCAGAAGTGGGGAGGAAGTGTCCCCATCACACACATGTTAACATGTCAAACCAATTAAAGCAAAGCTACTGTGGTTACACTTGGGTGAGGATGGTTAGGGCAGGTCCCCACCTGTTACAGTGACTTAACCCCCTAACACTCCAGTCTGAGCGGCTGAGACAAAATTACAATTTGCTGTGCAAATAAGCAGGGTGCTGGCAAAGCCTAGCACATCTCTGGTGGGACATCCAGAGGCAGAGTCTCTGATCCAAGGTTTAGGGTATCACTGAGCTATTTTCATGATCTCAGAAATCCTCCACCCTCTCCCTGCCCCAGCTGCCATGGTTGGAGCTCCTCCAAAGCTTAGTTTTAAAAACCCTGCCTTACACCATCATCAGCTGTCCCCTTGATGGGACTCAGGTCCCTGTAAGAATGGGGCTGAGGCTGTGTGCCCCCTGACAGGTGGAAAGAGGGTCCAGGAGCCTGAGGAAAGAGGTCATCTGATGGCCTGCTCCACACTTTAGGAGGACCAACCCAGCACATCAATGCTTTAAAATAGTTTTAACTTAATAACATGATTATTTATTTCAAATTACCAAGTGCCTCAAGTAAATAACCACTGTGGATATTCATTACCCGACAAGTGTTCTTGGGACAAACTTCCCCCGCCCACACCACCCATGCTGTCCCCCTGTTGTCCCTGGGTTACACCTGCCTGGTGTGGCTGGAGATGAGTCAAAGTCCCCACCCTCAGAGGCTCAGAGTCAAGGGGGTCAGGACCCCTGAAGGGGACGCATACAATCTAGGGTGAGGATTGCCTGGGACAAAGGTCTGTACCAGGGACTAGCATGCTCCAGGAGGTCTGAGGGCACAGCCCAGCCTGAGGGTATCAGAAAAAGATTCTTGAGGAGGTAAATAAATGTTCTATGATGGATCTTGTAGGATAAGTAGGATTTATCCAGAGGAGGAAAGGCGAGATGGGTGTTTCTTTTCTTTTCTTTTCTTCTAAGATTTTATATATTTATTTGACAGAGAGAGACAGCCAGAGAGGGAACACAAGCAGGGGGAGTGGAGAGGGAGAAGCAGGCTTCCCGCCGAGCAGGGAGCCCGACGCAGGGCTCGATCCCAGGACCCTGAGATCATGACCTGAGCTGAAGGCAGACGCTTAACCACTGAGCCACCCAGGCACCCTGAGATGGGTGTTTCTGATGGAGGGAAAACAGTAGCCGAGGGAGTAGCTTGGGGCTGGCTCTGATTTGTGTCTTTATCAACAGTACCCAGCCCAGCACGCTGCACAGGGTAAAGCACTGATTTTGTATGAGTGATGATTGAATAGAAGTGGCATGTCCCTTGAGAGGGACCTAATAGTGCTACCCTCCTCTGCAATCACCAGATCACACGTGACAGAACGGTGAAAGCCTCAGGGTGGGGGGAGGGGCAGATTCCTGTCGATTGGAAGAAAACCTTCTGTAGGGTCAGCATCATTTAAACAAGGAATGAACTTGCTGGTGGGTAGTGAGGTCCCCATCCCAGGGGTGTGCAAGCAGAAGCTGGGTAGTAGCATCTTGGGACCTTCCTAGAGAACCCAAGGCAAATTGGACAAGAAGACCACCCCTCCCCCCACCTCCCAGATCAGGAGAGTCTGAGAGTCACCACTGTGCTCCTTCTTCCAGAGGTACGTTTATGAGGCGGATAAGGACAAGCAACGCTACATTCGTGAGCTGTGGGCCTACCAGAGCTCCCAGGCGTGCCGAGCCTTCTTGCAGAGGCAAGCAGCGCACGAGGCACGCACACTGTTGGGTGAGTGGGGCCCGGCCACGGGGGCTGGGGCTAGCTCTCCCTGCCACTCTGGGATTTTTTTCAGCATGAAGCGTGTTTAGAAAGCCCTTGGGGCTAGCCCTAACCCCACCCAGTGTTCGCACCAGTCACCTCCAGTTTAAAAGCCGCATCCTCTTATCCTTTGGATATGAGCCCTTTATCTAATAGATGGATTGTGGTGGCCCCTGCCCAGCAAGACACCCTGCACTGGCTTTCTTCCTGTCCTCCACTCACCGGCCCCCACCCCCACCAATGCTTCCTGGCCTCACCACCCAAAACACCACTCACACCAAATCCTTGTCTTGGGGTCCAGCTCTGGGGGTCCCAGCCGAAGGAAGAGAAGAGAGCTGCATTTATTGAGTGTCTACTCACCATGCCTTCACCATGGAGGGCACCTCCCATTCATCGTCTCTTCCTCCTCATTGGAAGGCATCACCAGCCCCCTCCTAGGGGCACATGCCCATGGGGCAGTGTTGAGAGTCCTCAGCAGCAGGGGCCCGGGAGCTCAGGTCCAGGGAGGTGGGCTCCTCATCAGTGGTTCGGGGTCCACCACCGTCCATGCGGAGTGCTGTGCCCTGTGCTCTCCGTGCCTGGGGCTGACCACCGTCCCCAGGGCTTCCACGCAGAGCCCATCGGGCCCCCACGCTGCCACTTCTCACTCCCACCTGAGCTCTCGCCTCAGTGGTCAGGGCGTGGGCTCAGGAGTCCAAGTGCCTGGGTTTAAATCCCGGCTCTGCCACATGCTGGCTCTGTGACTCAGCACGAGCCACTGAAGCAGTCTGTGCTTCGGTGTCCTCGCATGAAAATCGGCTGTAATCAGTCCCTCTGGGCCGGGCTTGGCGCAGAGCAGAGGGGTTAAATTGTAGGGAGCTTGGTGCCTGGCACGTGGCAAGAGTTCGGCAAGCTTTCACTCTGGCTACCCCCCTCTTTTCGCTCTGCAGCAAAGGCACCGCACCCCAGCTTCATCCAGAGCGGGGATCAGCAAACTGCTGCAAAGGGTTAGACCATAAATAGTTTACCTTTTGTGGGCCACGTGGTCTCTGTCACAACCGCTCAGCTCTGGTTGAAGCAGGAAAGCAGCTACAGATGGTGTATATTGTGTGCCAATAAAACTTTATTTATAAAAACAAGCAGAAGACCAAGTTGGTCCGCGGGCCTCTCCACTCTGGCGCCTTGTACGTACGGGGTTTCCATCTCACATTTATTTTTAATCAAGCACCTGCCGATTAAAAAACCATCAACCTGAAAACCACTGATCTAGCATGTAACTATTAGCAGACAATCCCTGAGCATAGTGGGGCCTCCGGTCCTCGCTATGAACGTCAGAGCTAAGAAAACTGTGCCCTGAGACCCTTGACCAAGGGTCCACTGAGAGCAGCTGTCTTCCCTGCTGGTGTTTTCCTCCCTAAGGACGCCGCTTGTCAGACTTAGCAGGGAACACCTCGTCTTACTTAATCCTTCAGGCTCGTGGGAGCCCCTCGGCCTGCTAACCGTTGTGGTTGTTTGGAGACTGTCCCCACACAGAAAGCTAGTGTGCTACAGAGAAAGGCCATTCCAATAGAGCGTGGTTTTTAAACAAACAAGTTGTGTTACTGCCTGATGGAAAACATGGTAATTGTTTAAAGCTTACCATATAAAAATCTATTAATTACAATAAACAATTTTTTTTTAACATCACCTAGAATCGGCCATGCTAATCAGAAGAATGCACTCTTTTCGTTTTTTCCTGGTTTCTGGCTCATCGTTCCATAGCTGGTCAGATGCTTATACATGGAAGTCAGGGGTAGCCTCATGGGTTTTAGGGCCGTTCAGACCTCAGTGGGACCTGAGCCGCTGAAGCCAAGCCCTGGTCCTCCAGCAGGAGCCTGGGGTCACTTCTTAGCTTCGGGAAGCACTTCCGACCCTCAAGGTGACCACTCCTCCTTCAGATGCTTTCTGATGCCACCTGTCTTCCAGCAGGACCAGGCACACCAGGAAACAGATTGGACAGGGAGGGCCTTCCGTTCTCAGCACTTGATGTAAGTATTTGTTTTCAGGGGTAGGGGGCGGGTAGTGGTTTTGAAACATCACCTCATCGGGCATGGGAGACTGAAAAATGTTCATCCCCAAAGATACCTAGGTCCCAGTACCTGTGACCCATGAATGTTACCTTACGGACAATGGGGCGGATCTTTGGGGATGTGATGAAATTGAAATAAGGGCATCAGATAGCCACAGGTGGTCTTACAGGAGGGAGACGGAAGGAAAGGCTGCGTGACCACAGCAGCCGAGGTCAAGGTGATGTGGCCACGTGCCGAGGAATGTCATTAGCCACCGGAAGAGGCTGGAAGGGGCCAGAAACAGGTTCTCCCCTAGAGCCTCCAGAGGGAGCATGGCCCTGCCAACATCTTCATTCTGGCCCCGCCAGGCTGATTTTGGACTTCTGGTCTCCAGGACTCTGGGAGAATGAGTTCTGCTCCTTTACATCACCAGGTGTGGTGACTGATGACAGAAGCTACAGGAGATCATTCCAGGAATCGGCTATGATGGAGACAGGCCGGTGCTGTTTGAGGGTGTTACTCACATGGCAGGCGATTCTGACTCCCCCTAATGAGGAGTCCTGAGAATACGTGGGAAATTCCCAGAAGGCATGCTGGGCATGCTGGGTGCAGATGGACGTGAAGCTGAGCTCTACGCAGAGGAGACAGGATGGGCAGAGACCCAGGGAAGGGAGGCCGCGTAGGGCGTTTGGGGCACAGAGGGCCGCTCGGGCTGCAGGGAGCGGACAGTGGGCACATGGGGACTAGGACAGGGCAGCCGTGCCTGGAGTCGCCGGACGGTACGAGCTGCGATGTAATTGGTAGGTGTTTTCCCTTTGAGCTTTAACTGACAAAGAAATATCTATTTCACTAACAAACAAGGAATCACTGAAAATGAATTTTAAGGGGCAGCCAGATGTGCTTACGCTGAAATTTTCTGGAAGGCCACACAAGAAACTCTCACCCAGGGGGAGTAAAATGGGATGGGGCACACTTTTACTTTACACCTCCCCCCTTTTTTTTTATTACTTTAAGCATGCATTCATAATAACTTTAAAAGTTGTTTTAAGTACACCACCTTCTATCATGATGATAAAATGATTTGAGGACTTACAGTGCCAAGGACTTCCTAAATCTGTCGTCTGCCTGAAAGGTCAGCCCCCTGGGGCCCAGGCAGGGCTGCGGAGGCAGAAGCCCCTCGCCCCTCCTCTGCCCTGTGCAGCCCAGTGCTCTCTCACCGACGCAGGGACCCCTCCCCGGAGCCTGCGCCCGCCCCACTGCCTACATGTCAGGCTGTCCATGACCTGGCGTCCATCTCCCTGTCCAGTCTCCTCTGCCTTCCATGTGCCCACCTGCCCTGGAGGGCTGCCAGCTGCTGATCCAGAGCCTCCCCTTTCTTCCTCACCCACCCTGTGACCTCAGACAAGCTCCTGCTGTCCTCACGACACGCAGCTCAGAGCGCGACTGTGAACAGAGTGCTCAGTGACCTCTGGTTGAATTGGAAGTTGAAAACATGAATTGATTCTAATAGATGAAGACCTCACACTTCTATTGAGGGCCGTGTGACTAGATATACAGCATGATAGATTACAAGATAAATGGCTCCTGGCTAGTTTTTTCTTCGACACCTTTTCTTGGGCACCTTGCGATTTGTTTTCGCTTAACAGCCCTTCCGAATCTTGGCTTCAGGTTGCAAGAGGGTTGGTGGTAGGGATCATCTGAATGAGGGTGGGGTCCCTTCCATAATTGTTCCCAGGGTCATCCTGCATTGTCATGATGGATTGTATGATAAGGATATATTTCTATAAGCAAACGTGAGAGTGCAGAACTTTGTGTTGAGGTGCATGTGAGCTGAGTTTGGACATTTACTCTGATGTCTCGGCACCAGCCCCCCACGGGGGCAGGCCCTTTTTCGGATGTGCTGCACCACAGACCCCTTTCCCTTCAAGTTCCCTCCTGACTCGGGGCTCTCCAGCAGCCCTCCCCCATCTCTCCCTCTCTGGAGCTCCCAGGGCTCTCCTCCCTCACTGCGCTCTCCTAGCAGGGTCCTTCCACTTTAGCAGGAGGTAGGCAAGAGGGTATGCAAGAAATCACTCGACCTCTTTCAGGTCGAGGACACATCTCCAGGCTGAAGGAGCTCCTCTCTGATAAGGGACAGAAGTCCTAAGAATCAGTGAGCTGCAGAACGTCCTGAGTCTCATCAGCGTCTGGCTGGCCCGGAGTCAGGAAAACGTATAAGTCTTTGTCAGGAAGCATCTCTTCCAAAAGCTTAGGGAATTCTTACATCCCCGAACTAATAAACGTAAGCAAATGCATATAGTTATATATGTTTCTTAATTAATTAGGTTTTTCATTTAAAAATAATATATGTGCGGGGCACCTGGGTGGTGCAGCCCACTGAGCATCCGACTCTTGGTTTCAGCTCAGGTTGTGATCTCAGGGTCATGAGATTGAGCCCCATGTCCGGCTCCACCCTCAGCAAGAAGTCTGCTTAGGACTCTCTCTTTCTCCCCCTCTGCCCCCCCAAAGTGAAAAAATAAATCTTTAAAAATAATAATAATAGTATACGTGCATGGTAAAAACAAATGCAAACAGCACACAGAGGCTTCTGGGAAGAGGTGGGTCCTGCTCACAGGCGCCAGCCCACCTCTGCATCCCAAGACATCCACTATACCCAGCTTCTAGGGCATCCTCCAGAAATAGCCCGTGGATACATGCAAGCACCTATGGGCTCGTGCATAGATATTTTGATAAAAGGACACATTTTTGTTATTCAATCATAGAGCTCATTCTGGTTTAGGATTTCAAAGTAAACTCTTTGCAAGTAAGCAGAACCCAGAGTTGGTTCTGCGCTTTCTCAAACAATCCCGCCAGTTACCAGAACTCCCCGCTCTTCCTTCTTGGCCCCATTCCTCGCATTTCCCACTCGGTGACAGAGGTCTTGGGATGATTTGAAATTCTCAGCTGTGCTTGGAGAGGCCTCAAGCCGGCAAGTGGTTTCCCCGGGGGAGAAGGGACGAGCAGGACGAGCAGGACGCAGCCCGGCCGGAGAGCCGTGCGGAAGCCCCTCTGAGCCAAGTGTATGTTCAGAGATGGTGGGAACGCCGCGCGCGTCCGCCCGCCTCCGAAACGTTTCTGTCCACAGGGGGATGAAGGCAACGACCTGGTACTGTAGGGCCTGCAAACAGTTCTTCAGCTCCTTGCATAACAAGAAGGAGCACCTGCTGGGAAAGCAGCACCTGCAGAACCTCACAGGTAACCCGCCCACCCTGCTTTTCCGTTTGAATGTTAAGACCGGATCTAACCAAATGCTCTTAATATCAGGCGTGCACGCGGGAGGGGGTGGGTCTTCACGGAATAGCCTACGGAGTAGCCTCTTCATTTGTTTTATTGATTTTTTTTTTTTTTGAGTGTAGTTGACACACGATGTGACATTAGTTTCTGGCGTGCAACCTAGTGATTCAACTAGTTTCAACGTTGTTTCACCTTTCACCGCACAACGCTGGTACGGTGTCATTGAGTCTGCGCCCTGGGCTGTGCCTTTTATTCCAAATGTCTTCCTCATTCCATGCCTGGAAGCCCGTGCCTCCGCCTCCCCTTCGCCCCATCCCCCATCCCC